CTCTGCGGCCGCTGGCTGCTCGGAGGCGGCGCTGCCGGCACCCTTTCGGCGGCGGTGGTTCCAAAGGGGCGGGCTTACCAGGTGGGGGATGTGGGGGGGAGAAGATGATGGGGGAGGGGCCAGGGGGAAGCGGAGGTCTAGAGCACAGTGAAAAGGAGGAGGAGGAGGAGGAAAGGGAGGAGGAAATGGATGATGATAAGGAGGAGGATGCGGAGGAGGAAAAGGATGCGGAGGAGGAGAAGCGCGAAGCTGAAGAGGAATGGTACAGCGAGAAGGTCGACAGTTTGCGGGATGGAATGGCGCCCCGACGACATACGACCCCCCCGCACCTTCTATCGCGCCCCGTGATCATCCCTTCTCAATCTTGGTAGCTAACCTGCGGCCCCTGATGATACTCCCCGGTGGATGCAAAATAACGTTCGTAGTTCCGTTGGGATAATCTCAATTTTCCCTGTCAGCTCGCACGCACGGATGGGCAGTGTACGGGGTGGCATAGCAGTCCAAGTAGTAGTAGTAGTAGTAGTAGTAGTAGTAGTAGTAGTAGTAGTAGTAGTAGTCGTAGTAGTAGTCGTAGTAGTAGTAGTAGTAGTAGTAGTAGTAGTAGTAGTCGTAGTAGTAGTCGTAGTAGTAGTAGTAGTAGTAGTAGTAGTAGTAGTAGTAGTAGTAGTAGTAGTAGTAGTAGTAGTAGAGTAGTAGTAATAGTAATAGTAGTAGTAGTAGTAAGTTAAGTAAGTAGTAGTAGTAATAGAAGCAGCAGCAGCAGCAGAGCAGCAGTAGTATAGTAGTAGTAGTATAGTAGTAGTAAGTATTAGTAGTAGTTGTAGTAGTAGTAGTAGTAGTAGTAGTAGTAGTAGTAGTAGCAGCATAGTAGTAGTAGTAGTAATATGTAGTAGTAGCAGTAGTAGTAGTATAGTCTAGTAGTAGTAGTAGTAGTAGTAGTAGTAGTAGTAGTCGTAGTAGTTGTAGTAGTAGTAGTAGTAGTAGTAGTCGTAGTAGTAGTTAGTAGTAGTAGTAGTAGTAGTAGTAGTAGTAGTTAGTAGTAGTAGTAGTAGTAGTAGTAGTAGTAGTAGTAGTAGTAGTAGTAGTAGTAGTAGTAGTAGTCGTAGTAGTAGTAGTGGTGGCAAGGGTACTAGACATCGTGCTAGTAGTAGTCGTAGTAGTAGTTGTAGTAGTAGTAGTTGTTGTAATAGTAAAATTACTAGTCGTAGTAGTCGTAGTAGTAGTAGTAGTAGTAGTAGTAGTAGTAGTAGTAGTAGTAGTAGTAGTAGTAGCAGCGTAGTAGTAGTAGTAGTAGTAGTAGTAGTAGTAGTAGTAGTATAGTAGTAGTAGTCGTAGTAGTAGTAGTAAGTAGTATATAGTCCTTAGTAGTAGTAGTAGTATAAGTATTATAATAGTAGTAGTATTAGTAGTAGTAGCAGTAGTAGAACAAAAGTTTAGTAGTAGTGTCGTAGTAGTTATAGTAGTAGTAATAGTAGTATAGTAGTCTTAGTAGTAGTAGTAGTAGTATAGTATTAGTAGTAGTATGGTAGTAGTAGTAGTAGTAGTAGTAGTAGTAGTAGTAGAGTAGTAGTAGTAGTGGTACTAGTAGTACTAGCAGTAATAGTAGTAGTAGGTAGTAGTAGTAGTAGTCGCAGTAGTAGTCGTAGTAGTAATTACCCTGGCGACGTACCCAACCCCTGCGCAAAAGCGGGGCGCAAATAGTTTAGGATACTTTATAAGGGGGCGATGACGGAGCGAGGGTTACATATGTCTGCAGACGGAACTCGGGAGACTCGCAGGACACTGGCTACAGGAAAAGGGCTTGATAAAGCTGATGATTTACAATTCCTGAGCACTCCTAGCCACTTCGAAAACGGGAATCACAGCAGGCCTCGAAAGTGGCGACAGGTTCACAGATCGCAGCCCCGCAGGGATGGCGAGGTCTCATTTGAATCTGCCCGTGGCCCTCACTGTGCTGGGCCCCCCAGCAGGCCTCGAAAATGGCGACAGTTTCGCAGATCGCAGCCCCCCAGGGATGGCGAGGTCTAATTTGAATCCGCGCGTGGCCCTCACTGTGCTGGGCCCCCCAGCAGGCCTCGAAAATGGCGACAGCTTCGCAGATCGCAGCCCCCCAGGGATGGCGAGGTCTAATTTGAATCCGCGCGTGGCCCTCACTGTGCTGGGCCCCCCAGCAGGCCTCGAAAATGGCGACAGTTTCGCAGATCGCAGCCCCCCAGGGATGGCGAGGTCTAATTTGAATCCGCGCGTGGCCCTCACTGTGCTGGGCCCCCCAGCAGGCCTCGAAAATGGCGACAGTTTCGCAGATCGCAGCCCCCCAGGGATGGCGAGGTCTAATTTGAATCCGCGCGTGGCCCTCACTGTGCTGGGCCCCCCAGCAGGCCTCGAAAATGGCGACAGTTTCGCAGATCGCAGCCCCCCAGGGATGGCGAGGTCTAATTTGAATCCGCGCGTGGCCCTCACTGTGCTGGGCCCCCAGCAGGCCTCGAAAATGGCGACAGTTTCGCAGATCGCAGCCCCCCAGGGATGGCGAGGTCTAATTTGAATCCGCGCGTGGCCCTCACTGTGCTGGGCCCCCCAGCAAAGCCTCGAAATGGCGACAGTTTCGCAGATCGCAGCCCCCCAGGGATGGCGAGGTCTAATTTGAATCCGCGCGTGGCCCTCACTGTGCTGGGCCCCCCAGCAGGCCTCGAAAATGGCGACAGTTTCACAGATCGCAGCCCCCCGCAGGCAAGACAGGAAGAGGCAGGAGGCGGGAGGCGGGAGAAGGGACGCGACCACACTGCTCTATTCAAAACGAATACCCAACCAAGGAGGGTTGGGAAAAATTACCCTGGCGACGTACCCAACCCCTGCGCAAAAGCGGGGCGCAAATAGTTTAGGATACTTTATAAGGGGCGATGACGGAGCGAGGGTTACATATGTCTGCAGACGGAATTCGGGAGACTCGCAGGACACTGGCTACAGGAAAAGGGCTTGATAAAGCTGATGATTTACAATTCCTGAGCACTCCTAGCCACTTCGAAAACGGAGATCACAGCAGGCCTCGAAAGTGGCGACAGGTTCACAGATCGCAGCCCCGCATGGATGGCGAGGTCTCATTTGAATCTGCCCGTGGCCCTCACTGTGCTGGGCCCCCCAGCAGGCCTCGAAAATGGCGGCAGTTTCGCAGATCGCAGCCCCCCAGGGATGGCGAGGTCTAATTTGAATCCGCGCGTGGCCCTCACTGTGCTGGGCCCCCCAGCAGGCCTCGAAAATGGCGACAGTTTCGCAGATCGCAGCCCCCCAGGGATGGCGAGGTCTAATTTGAATCCGCGCGTGGCCCTCACTGTGCTGGGCCCCCCAGCAGGCCGGCCTCGAAAATGGCGACAGTTTCGCAGATCGCAGCCCCCCAGGGATGGCGAGGTCTAATTTGAATCCGCGCGTGGCCCTCACTGTGCTGGGCCCCCCAGCAGGCCTCGAAAATGGCGACAGTTTCGCAGATCGCAGCCCCCCAGGGATGGCGAGGTTTAATTTGAATCCGCCGTGGCCCTCACTGTGCTGGGTCCCATTTGAATCCGCGCGCCTCTGAAAACTGTGCTGGGCCCCCCACAAGTTTCGCAGATCGCAGCCCCCTGGGAAGGCGAGGTCTAATTTTATCCGCGCGTGGCCCTCACTGTGCTGGGCCCCCCAGCAGGCCTCGAAAATGGCGACAGTTTCGCAGATCGCAGCCCCCCAGGGATGGCGAGGTCTAATTTGAATCTGCGCGTGGCCCTCACTGTGCTGGGCCCCCCAGCAGGCCTCGAAAATGGCGACAGTTTCGCAGATCGCAGCCCCCCAGGGATGGCGAGGTCTAATTTGAATCTGCCCGTGGCCCTCACTGTGCTGGGCCCCCCAGCAGACCTCGAAAATGGCGACAGTTTCGCAGATCGCAGCCCCCCAGGGATGGCGAGGTCTAATTTGAATCCGCGCGTGGCCCTCACTGTGCTGGGCCCCCCAGCAGGCCTCGAAAATGGCGACAGTTTCGCAGATCGCAGCCCCCCAGGGATGGCGAGGTCTAATTTGAATCCGCGCGTGGCCCTCACTGTGCTGGGCCCCCCAGCAGGCCTCGAAAATGGCGACAGTTTCGCAGATCGCAGCCCCCCAGGGATGGCGAGGTCTAATTTGGGTCCGCCCGTGGCCCTCACTGTGCTGGGCCCCCCAGCAGGCCTCGAAAGTGGCGACAGTTTCACAGATCGCAGCCCCCCGCAGGCAAGACAGGAAGAGGCGGGAGGCAGGAGGAGAGACGCGACCACACTGCTCTATTCAAAACGAATACCCAACCAAGGAGGGTTGGGAATAAGAAATAGTAGTCGTAGTGGTCGTAGTAAGAATCGAAGTAACTGTGGTCGCATTAGTAGTAGTAGTAGTAGTAGTCGTCGTCGTCGTCGTCGTCGTCGTCGTCGTCGTCGTCGTCGTCGTCGTCGTCGTCGTCGTCGTCGTCGTAGTAGTAGTAGTAGTAGTAGTAGTAGTAGTAGTAGTAGTAGTGGTAGTAGTAGTCGTACTAGTAGAAGTAGGGGTAGTCGTAATACGAATAGAGCTCGTAGTCGTATCAATCGTATTAGTAATACTTATAATAGTCGTGGTAATGGTGGCAGAAATCGTGATAGTAGTAGGAGTACTCGTGGTTATCGTAGTCGTAGTCGTAATCGTAGTCGTATTAGTTGAAGTAATAGTAGTAGTAATAGCAGCAATCGTGGCGGTAGTAGTAGTAGTAGTAGTAGTAGCAGCAGTAGTAGTAATCGTGATAGTAGTGAGAGTAATAGTAGTAGTCGTAGTAGTAGTAGTAGTAGTAGTAGTAGCAGTAGTAGTAGTAGTAGTGGTAGTAGTAGTAATAGTAGTAGTAGTAGAAATAATTGTCGTAGTAGTAGTAGTAGTAGTAGTAGTAGTAGTAATAGTACTAGTAGTAGTAGTAGAAGTAGTCGTAGTAGTAGTAGTAGAAAGTAGTAGTAGTAGTAGTAGTATAGTAGTAGTAATGGTAGTAG